ATTTCTAACTTGTCTTTCTTCTGAATCAGTGGTAATATTTTTTATTTTAAATTACTATCTTTTTTAATTATACAGTTTTATGGGCTCCGTCCCCACCCCCCACCTCCCGTCACATCCTACAAGGGTCAGAATTTCAAGTACTTGAAGACCCAAAGGACAGACTGATGGGAGCAAAGCTCTTTGTACCTCCTACTGCTACAGTACAGACATTTTCAGATTACTAAAGATGTACTGACTTTTCTTGCTATGCCGTAACCATTTTTTTAAAAGCAGGAATTCAGCCCTGGTAGGTTTGGCTCAGAGGTTGGAGCACTGGCCCAGGAAACAGAGTCACAGGTTCGATTCCTGTCAAGGGCACGTACCTCGGTTGAGGTTCGTCCTTGGCCCTGGTCAGGGTGGTGTGGGAGGCAACCAATCAATGTGTCTCTCTCACATTAATGTTTCTCTCTTGCCCTCTCCCACTCTGCATGAAGATATTTGGGGAAAAAAATGTCCTTGGGTGAGGATTAAATAAATAAGTAAAACCAGGAATTGGTAGGTACTCAAAATAGAATTCTTATTCCAATCTTGCCTCCTTTCCATGATGGAACAGGTGAAAATGGGTTTATGAAGACTATACTAACTTATGGAGAAGAACATGAAGATTATACTGATCATAACACAGCTAATGAGTGGTGCATTTAATAAATTCATGTTTTAAATCAAAGTCAGATAGTGTCTTCGCCAATGAAGATGTTTTAGCCTGCAGCAATCTTGCACAGAAACAAATATATGTTCAGTTCTGTAGCAGTGTCTAAGAACTCTTAATTGACCAAATTTCCATTATAGTTTTAAAAATAATTTAGGAACTCCCTCCCAACCCCCAAATATGGATTAGATTTCCTTCCTTTGTGTTCCTATAGCACACAATGCATACACAACCATCAATTCACATTGTAATTATTTGCTTCCCCAGTAGCTTATGAACTTCTTGAGAGTAAAGACAATGTGTCTGTTTTTCACTTAAATCAGGGATCAGCAGGCATTTAAAATCCTTCAAGTGAAAGCCTATTCCATGCAAAACAATGTGTACAGAATCTTCCCCGATGTAGTTAAACGTAGGTCCATTGCTCCCACCTTACTCCCTCCTTGAAGGCAGAGCTTTGTTGTAGATGAACAGTGTCTAACACATAGTAGGCTCTTGGTAAGTTAATTTAATAAGAGAATGAACAAGGCTAGGTCCTTACAATCAGAACAAACCTCCTTCCTGCCTCCCCTGCATGAGATCATTTCCCTAAAAAGCATTCTATTAAATCAAAGGTTAACTCCTTTCCCCAGAGATAGTAAATAGTATGGCATTTCCCACAGATGTTTGTTAATAGGTTCTACAAGAAAAATAAATTCCAGATTTAAATAAGTTTTGGATATGCTGATTAACAAAGTCATTTGAGCAGGACTTGTTTGAGACCTATTGTGAGACTCTCCAAAACCCCTTTGGTCATACAGACAGTGGGAGACATGAACAATAACAGTGTCAACTTTGTTCATGGTACATTTTGAGAGACCAGAGCAGAGGGGCTTTATGGTTAGGATGATGTTCCCACTGTCAGAAGTAAAGGCTGGCAAAACCAGGTAGGACTACGCTGAAACTGAAAGCAATGCAAATTGGTTGGACACTTTAGGAAAGTAATTTGGTGATATATTTCAAACACCCAAGGAAATAATCTAAAACATCCCAATAGCTGCATGTGAGATGTTCAATACATTGCAATTAGGAGAAAAAATTCGAAATGAACTATCCAGTCATACAGATTAAATATGAAAATAAAATATTAAGTAACATTAGTTATAAAGACTTTGCATAGTAACATACAAAAATGACTATGATAAAAAGTTGTGTTTAAAACAACACGGTACGAAATTGTATCTATGTTCTGGTCATACAACTATGTGAAACAGTATAAGCAAATGTACAAACACCGGAAAGGGATAGTACACTTTTTAAATAGTTTGACTTATAATGCATTTGCCTCATTTTGGTTTCCAATAATGCTATTTAATTATGGAAGAAATAACAAAGAAAGAGAAATACTGGGTCTCATTTTTTTCCTACCTCCTCAGTATAATGTCTATAAAGAGATATGGTTTCAACACCAGCTAGGTGATGCTATCTGAGTCTTACTGACAGGAAATCAGAACACTTCAAACTTTACTAGAAAGCTGTCTACTGAGGATCACCTCGGCAGGAGCAAGATTTCTCCTGAGGAGCGCAGGAGAACTGGCAACGTCAGAGAGTAACACGCTGGAGTCAACATTAGAGGGTAATACGCTGCTGTGGAGAGAGGGAGGAACACACCGCTGAGTTCGAATCCCAGCTCCTCTTCTCGATGGGAGTATGGTCAGCTGTCCGGATCTGCCCACTTGCATGGTGAAGATGACCATCCCTATACCATGCGCTCTTGTTTTCAGAATTAAATGATTTTAAGTAAAGCTCCAAGCTAGGATCAGGCTCTAAACCCTTGTCAGTTAACATAGTTACCACTGTCAGATTTTCCCAATGGGCTATGGGGGAAAATCTTCCCTAAGAAGCATCTTAAAAAGTGAATTCTTACAAATACTCATCTTAAAACACTTTAGAATTGCTCTCATATTATATACGTTCTAAAAAATGTGCCTGAAAAGTGAAAAATGAGTTGTTAAGGAACTACAGCCAGGAGTGTATGCTAGTACACAGTTGTACAGGGAACTGGCAACAAAAGCAATAGTCCTTGTCAAGTGGTAATACTGTAAGCTTAAAATTCTAAAGAGAGTTGAAGGAAACTTCAACTAAAACCCATACTCAACCAAACTATTAAAAAAATCCATTCACTCAATAAAGAATTATTACCACATGAAAGGAACTATGTTGGAATCTAGGAGATTCAGTTACTTTACTTTCACCTTTCTACTGTTCTCTTGCTCATGTTCCTCATCTCTGAATTCCACCTTTTCCCTTCTCTTTTATAAACACATCATTTATTTGAGTTCATTATTAAGGTTGGTGAAATGGTGGACACACATGTGCATATTTATTGAAGGTGGAGAAAAGGCATGGATCAACCTTCATTAAGTAGCTCCACAAATCAATCTTAGTGACTTCTAAGTGAGGCGCGCACAACTCAATGACTATGCAACACTAAATGCAGACTATATTCCATGTACCAGACACTTTACCTATACTAATTCATTTAGTTTTCACAATAAGCCTATGCTGTTGATGCTATTAATAGTCCCATTTCATGGATGAGGAAACTGAGGCAAAGAGGGGTTGAGTAACTTGCCCAAGTAACACAGCCAAAAAGTACTAAAGCAGAGATGTGAAGCAGGTAGTTGGGCTCCAGAACCTGTGACCAGTCTGCTCTGCTTTTGCTGTGGTTAACACACCCTGTGTGGACACTGTGGACTGACATATGTAGATGAGAGGAGGAGCAATCAGAAAATGAGAGGCATGAGAATTACAGCAAAAACACTCTAGTGTACTCTGTGCATTTATTTATCTGGATTTATTTACATGGTTAATATTTTTTCTTACAGTGAAATTACAGGCCATAACCAAGAATAGCATATTATTAACATAGTGTATATTTTGATTTCAAAGATAATTTCCAAATGTTCAACTACTATTGCTGATATCTGAAAAGAACACCTGCAGTGATATTTAACAGGTAGAAACAAACTGATATTTCCTCCCAACCTTCTATAACTTCCATCTATATTTCATACAACACTTGTTTGGATTTCAAAAAGAGTAATAATAATACATAAAGTGCTACTTTGCTGTTAAGAAATTATGTACAAATGCCCATCAACTGATGACTGGATAAACACAATGTGGTATATCCCTATCATGGAACACACATTTTGGAATAAAAAGGAATGAAGGAATGATACACACTACAATCTGGAGGAACTTCAAAAACACTGAGTCAAAGAAGCCAGACACAAAAGACCACATGTAATTCTATTTATATAAAATGTCTAGAATAGACAAATCTACAGACAGGGTAAGTATATTAGTGTTTGCCTAGGGTTGGATGAGAGTTGAAGGGAAATGGAAAATGACTGCTAGTAGGTATGAGATTTCTTTAGGGGGGATGATAAAAATGTTCTATAATTGATTGGGGTGATTGTTACACAACTGTGTGAATATACTAAAAACCAATGTACACGTTACATGCATGGACAGCATGGTATGTGAATTCTGTCTCTCTCTCTCTCTATATATATATATATATATATCTCAACTTTATATACACACACACACACACACACACATATATATAAATAAATCACACAAAACACTTAAAAGGGCTCCACCTTGTCCAATTCACATGTGGAGTTCCACTGAATTCAGGGCAGACTCCATGTGAACACTCCTTTTTTTAATGTAAACTTTTTATATTGAAATAATTTGTTACAGAAAAGTTGAAAGAGGAGTCAGAGTTCGCATACACTCTTCACCCAGCTTCCCTGAATTCTGCTGTCTTTCATAATCGTAGTACTGCACATGGACCCTTTTAACATAGCTATACTATGTATACAACAAAATAAGAGCAGAATAGTTTTAACTAAGGTAAAGAGTTGAGTGATAAAGAAATTTGATGGGAGAAAGCATTTTCCTGAGAAACCAGATGTTACAAGAATTACTAGGTAAAGCGCTGATTTTCACAGAATAGTTCAATCCCTCTGTAGGCAGTACAGAGGATAAGAGGGGAAGAAAAAAAAAAGGTTGCAGAGAACAAAAATAAAAGATAAAATAGGTCAAAGTAGAGGCAGAAAAGTCATCTTAAAGAGACCAGAGGATATACCTGCTGAGGCAAAACTAGACTGTGGTATAAACACAGCTACAGAAAGAATGTTTGTCAGAAAAAAGGGACTGGACAGGGCAGTATATACACAGCTACTATTTATTTAGCACCTATTAGGTGCCAAGATCTGTACTTGGCCATTTACATTAAAAAATAAGTCTGAGAGATACGCACTGATACTGCCCTTCCAAACTGTCTTGGGAAGGGGTGCCAGGGCAGCAGACTCGACTGCTGAACAGACAAGTCAAATGTCGCTGCTCCCATGAGTCATCGGCCTACTCCGCTTCATCTGATTCCAAGTCATTAGGCAACTTCCTGATTTTCCTCTGGCTGGATGACTGGAGAGCCACACAAAAGTAAAGCAACAGAGCAAAAGAGGTTCTTGCATGTGCAGAGTCTGCGTGAATACATAGAAACTAAGCTGTTAACAACTGTCATCTCACGAAATGGAATCACAAAGAACTTTCTACTTACACACTTCCATATTTGGATTGGATTTAAAAAACAAAACAAAACACATAACCATACTACTTTTCTATTGGAAATAAATATGATAAATCTTTTTTTGTTGTTGAAAGTATTATAGATGTTGCCATCTCCCCTCCACCCGATTGCAATAAATCTGAGTAATAATTTGGCCTTACCTTAATACTAGCTAATTTGACAAAAATTTTCTTGTCTGTATGTCAGTTTAATAAATTAGCCTCCTGAGTTGACACATGTCTTAGGACTTTGGTTTATATGAATCTACTATTAACAGAAGCATGTACTGGCAAAATTAAGTTTCTGAGTCTCCAAAGCCCTAGGGCTTGGTGATTTCTAAGATATATGACACTAGATAAAGCCTCCTGGCAGCCATCAGCTGGGCGTCCTTGGTAACACCTGAACCACACCGAGTATTCTGCATTAAAATGTACAAGCAAAAATATTAAGGAGATATAACTTAAAACCTTTCCAGAGAACTTCTCCCAGCATTTCAGCATAATTTATAAATAGGCAACTCCTGGACCTACAGACTGGCCTTAGCCAGCTAGTTTGGAAGCAAAGAAGTTGGTTCTATACCACCACCAATTAACTCTCTCCCTGCCCATGAACACATTAGAACCACCGAGGAAGCCCTAGGAACATGAGAGTCCTGGGATTAGCCTGGCCCTAGAATCTGGGTCCTAAGTCCAATTACACTCTCTTCCCCAGCCCGAGGTTTAAAGTCTGATGTCAGTGTACCCTGTAGTATGGGCCACAGAATGATGCCAAAATTTATGCATTAGTTAACCAACTGGCCCTCAGCCACCTCAAAATATGACCAATTGGTTATCCCCAAATGACTGCTGGGTCTGAGACAACCTATATTATCACAAAGCCCCCAAATTCTACTTCTTGGTAAATCCAACTACTAAAAATCAAGGCATCAAGCATTTAAGTCTGAAATAGAAAAGAATAATACAGGGGATTCAAGCATCAAATTGACAGTTTGGTTTAGGAGACTATTCCAGTCCCTTTCAACCCTGAATTACAATGGTTCCACTATCAGAGAAGGTTTTCAGGAGAAGCTAAATTAATAAAGCCAGCTAAAGTTCTAAAGTGATTACAGAAAACTCATACAGAAAGACAAGAATCACGCAAATAAGCGAGCAGGAACCGTGAATCATCAAATTAATAGCCCTGTAAATGACAGATACTAAATCTGCTCTTTTAAAAAGTCAACCAAGAAAAATGATTGTTAACGGACCAACCTTGAATAAATGTTCTAAAAGCATGAGCATCTGTAAATCTCCACGCCCAATGAGTCATTAAAACATCCCACTCATAAGAAACCATTCTGGTCCATCCCCAAAGCCAAGGCTCAGGCTTGTGCAGGTCTTGTTTACATCTTGCTGGTCTATATCCAATTCTGACAACCTATCTTTCCCACCAGGCAGTCCTCTATATCTGTTAACACCACTTTCCTCATATCGTAACATTAATCTTCATTAGTGCCCTAAACGTAACTAATATCCCTATCCCAGCCTATACCATTGGTTCTTTCTGTACTGCCCAAAGTAATGATTCTCAAAATTTACAGGCTTCAAAGAACTATACAATTTCTAATAATATTGCTCCCATATTCAGAAAGTCTTCACTTCTCTGCAATCCAATAAAATACCTCTTTCTTTGCACAAAGTAAACCTTATAAAAAACAAATCTTCTATTAGAACTACAGTTATGATCACAAAAAACAACCCATTCTAAGATGGTACATGTAAGATTGGTTTACCAAATGACCCGCTACTCTACTATGGAATAAAAGTACATGCCCCTAATGGACTCCCCACATCCAACCACCATGGTACAGGACCCCAAGGCTCCATACCTTGAAACTTTCCTTCCTGATAAAACCATGAAACATCTCATCCCTGGCCACGATGAAAACACATCCCTGGCTTCGTGGTCTGTTACAAAGTATCACTTGGGTTACCTTATCATTGTCTAGACTCTAGACACAAGAAGTCATATTTTTGCATATCATTCCTGCCCCCATGATTGATCTTTCTCGTGATCATACTTATGAACACTATCATAGACAGCAATTTAACAGTATCAAAAGGAAAATAAAAAGTAGAGATGAGAATATAAATATGCAGAGACAGAGGAAGACAACAAAACACACACACCACTGCCAAGAGTATCATGGGCTTTGGATGAAGAAACCAAGGGAGAAACATCCTCTGTTCTGGTCTACCTGGTTTTTTGCTAAGCATTTGCCTAGCAACACCTCTCCCCTTAGTCCTCAGACATTGGATGATTTGGCCCCAAGGGGGTTGCTCCCAGGGTAGGCCCCAGCCACCTTACAGGGCTCTTTCCACCCCAGAGACCTTTATAGGTCCAGTATCCTTGTGCTGGTACAGGTCCAGCTCAAGGTACCCTCCATGATAAAACAGTGGATTTTTATTCTCAATTATTTCTATTTTATGTTTCCCAGGGAAGGCAGCTTCAAGCAGAAATGTGGTCTGGCTTGGGATCTCTAGGCGGTTTTTCAGCATGCTCTGCCATTTCTGTGCAAGTGGTGGGCTGCAGCCAGCTGGCACCAGCTCAGCAGAGCCAATGACGCGCATCTCTTCCCAACTCCTGCTCACGACTTCACCTTGGAAGCCTGGAGTAGTCATACCATGGAAATCTGCAAATTTGACAAATCTAGGCATTTTTTTTTTTTAATTCCGTTGCAGAGCTGATTGTTAAATGTTTACCAATACACCACTACTTGTGCCTGAGTTGGTCATCCAACCGGGGTCATCCAACTTGTGAGATTTCTTTTAAAAAGAAATAGGTTTTTGCATTTGACTTTAGACCTGTCCTCACTGCTTTCTTTTTTTTTTTTTATCCTCACCTGAGGACATTTTTCCATTTTTTGTTCAGGTAGAGTGGGAGAGAGAGGAACACAGAGAGAGAGAGAAACATCGATGTGAAAGGAACACATCGAGTGGCTGCCACCCGCACAACCGACCAGGGCCGGGGACAAACTGCAACCGAGGTACGTGCCCTTAGCGGGAACCGAACCAGGGCCTCTCAGGACCGCAGGCCGACGCTCTAACCGCTGAACCAAACCGGCCAGGGCTCCTCACTGCTTTCAAAAACTCTTCACCTACTTGATTTTATTTCTTCTGTTTATGGTTGCATGGAATTTATTTTGATGTATGAGTTACCCAAAAATTTTAGCTAACCACCTAATCAATTGTCTGTAGATTCAAAATGGCCCCTTTAATATATCATAAATTCTTACTTATACTATGGTCTATGCTTAGAGTATTCTCTCCCACTGACTTATTTTCCTCTTGTGTCAACAACAAAACAATAGCAGCTAACATTTTTTAGTACTTCCCATGTTCCAGCAATTTACTTAGCTCTTTATTTACATTCAATAATTTAATTTCATGCTTTAGTGGTGAGTACTAGGGCCTGGAGAGATTAAGGAACTCAGTCATGTCACATTCCTGTTAAGAGGCAAGCCTGGAATCCAAGAATTCTCCCTCCAAAATCTCCAGTTATAACCACGGTGTAAAATGTACACATTATTGATTGCTATAACGTTGTTTTATTATCTGACATTAGCCTTTCCTTTCCATTTATTGCTTAGAACCATTTTGTAAAGCTTCTCTAAAAATATATGTAATTTTTACTCAGATCATGTTAAATTTACAAATTAACTGAAAAAAAAATCAATATTCCAGTTTTTACATCCAGCAACAAAGTATGTCCCCTCTGGTTCAATCAAGTTTTATTTTATAAATCTCAAGAAAAGTTTTACATTTTTTTTCATTTCTTGTTAGGGTTATTCTAGGTATTTTGTATTTATTGTTAGTATGGTGAATTTTTTCCATTATATGTTTTTAACTGGTTACTGGGTACTTCAGAAAGCTATTGATTTTTGTATACTTCCACATACAGCCCTTAATAATTTTAGCTGATTTTTTTGACCTTTGTATTTTCTCTCCTTTCTGATCACCATATTTTTTGTTTTATGGTTTATCGCACTAGTCAGAACTTCTAGAACAATGTTAATGGTGATAGAAGGCTTGCTTGTATGTTCCCGCAATAAACAAAAAATCCTCTAGCGTGTCATTGCCAAGTACGATACTGGCTGTTGGTTCAAGACAGTAGATCTTATTAAAGATGTAGTTTTTAGTTCCTGCTTTTTAAATAACTTTTTAAAGGAACAGATGTTGAATTATTTTTCAAATGCTTTTTGAAAATACTATTGAGATAATTTTAGAGTTCTTCTACTGAATACCCTATTTTAGACAGAAAAATTCTAGACTATCCAAGAAGGAGACAGATCTGAGTTTGGCCCTGGGGTGTGTGTCAGCTTTAAGGAGCCCTAAGTCAGCACCATAGCCCATTCTGCCACATGTGTTCCTTGGAAATACATTACCTCATATACAACTGGAAAACAGATGAATGATGCGGTGTAATAGAGAAGTCACATTGGTTCACATGCGATTTTTCCTAACATACTCTTCTCCATAGCAGCATGTATCTTAATCTGCTAACCTGTATATTTCACTTATTTATGTACCTGCCTTTGCCACTAGAAAAGCTTGGTGCTCAATACCTACAATTCCTGGCACACAGAAATGCTCAATAACCACTTACTGAATGAATGAATCAGGCTCACCGCAGGATATGATGAAGGAAGTAACAAATTATGACTCTTGAGGTTACGGCCTTCATCGTCACAAATTCAAGGGATACTTAGAAGAAGGTGAAGCATTGCACAGAAGTTTATTTTAATGCAGTTATATGTC